TATGCAAACAGGATTATTAAAAGTGTTCGTTGTGTAGACATTTTTCTATCTATGCCGGAACTATTCAACTGCTGACGCTACACGGACAAGCTTCGCTTATTTGTATGCGTGCTGTTTTCATCGTGAGACTACTAAATTGTAAACACGACGCAATGAAAATGTCGTTCTTACAAATATAAAGAATATACTTTTGACATTCATTTTTTCTTAATCTTAATTTTTCTTACAGCGTTAACGAATATTTCTTAGCGTGACTACTAAATTTTGATAAAAAAGAAAACATTTTTTGTTGAAAACATTTATATAAAATGATAGTTTTCCATTTTTTCCGAGTTTGGTCGCGAGTTTACTAAAATCTCTTGGCAAGTTTGACAGAAAGTGATGCACAAAGTCTTTCCGTGTAATATATACCCTCAGCCTGGTTCAGACTATATTGATTTGTGCAGGCAATTTAATTTTTTAACTTTAGCTGAAAGACGTCAAATGAACCAAGCTATTTTTATATTTAAAATTATTAATAGCTCTGTTAATTGTGCAAACCTTTTAAATTATATTAACTTTAGAATACCGCGATTTCACTCGCGTTATTACCAACCATTTTTTATATCCATGCCTACATCTGCCATTGGCTTCCATGCTCCGATTCGTAATATGTGTAACATTGTTAACATTATATGTCTACGAAACGATATAGAAATTCATTTGTTTAACATGCCGCTCTCCTCTTTCAAACGAGCAGTATTAAAATATATTATAGATATGAGATAGATTCTCAAACGAATAGTTTGCGACAACTTCTATTTTCTTTCTTTTCTACGATTTTTTTATTTTTTTTGTCTTGTTTTTATTTTGTTTTCTTTGTTCTTCTTCAACTAAGAATTGGTTTAATTTAAATACACGATAACCAGATTCATCTATTTATGTTTCATTTTTAGTTTGATATTCTATCTAAATATACCTTTTTTCCACTTAATAGTTATTATAAATACATTTTTTAAGTTTTGAATTAGTTTTACAATTGTTATAATAGTTGTAAGTACAATTGTAGCGCCCTTTGATGGTCTTTGACTGTGGGCTATGTTTTTTTGCAAAAAAAAAAAAAAAAAAAAAAAAAAAAAAAAACATACAAAAAATTCAGTAATTGCATGCAGGCATCGGATTACACGATTTTTTACATAATTTTTAAACAAAATACGTCTCTTTTGGTATAAAATCCAGATCTTCTTTATTTTAATATTATTTAACAAATTTTTAACTAAAAATGTTCTACAAATTAATTATTTTCAATAATTGTTTCATCTCTTTAAATGAAGTTCTTCACAAATTCATTTATCGTAAACTACTTTGCAATTTAAAATTTAATGATATTCCATAATTGTTTAAAAATTTTTAAAATCAGCAAATAAAATTATCAAAAATTTTAATTCAAAATCACTTGAAGTGCAATGATTTTTAAAAATCTGAATTTTAAATCTTTGAAAATTCAGGGTGTCTACCCAAATTTTTCAAAAAATTCTCGGTTTTCCAGGCGTAAAAAATCTTTTTCCCAGTCAGTGTTTCAATAATTTTAGTTTTTACTACAAAATATATTAGGTATGTATTAATTTATTGCTTTCATTGGTAATTTTAGATATTTTAATTAATCTATATCTGCTTATACTTATATACAATATATAATTTCCAGAAAAAATTCTAAACTAAAGAAATTTACGTTGTTTTAATTTTTATAAAATAAGTGTATCAGTTCACTAACATTTTGTTTGAGGACTGTTTGATGTTCCTTGGATGTTATTATTAATCAAAACTAAGACGTTCATGCTATTTTGTAACCCTAAATTTTGAACTTAGGTTATTGAATTTAGATTTTTATATTAGCGGAGAGGCGTATCATTTCGGTGATAGTTTTTTCACAAAACTGGTGCCAGATCTTGACCTTTTTTTCATAAACATAACAACTTTTATAAGAACTGTTAAAATGTGCATTGAGAGTTTGCGACAGCCTTTGTAATATCTATTTTGTTTTTCTTTTTAATATTAGCTTCTTTAAAATTAACTTGTAGTATATGCTTATCATCTGTATATTTACGACCAAATGATTCTCACCAATGTTACATCTGGACCGTGAGAATTGTGTTACATACTAAATAAATAAATAATAAACTCATGTACAAAAAATTTTTGTTAGCAAAAAGATAAATTTCTCAATTTTGTACTTAAAAAGAATAAAATGCAAGCATATTATTGTTAAATAATAATAGAATGAAAAAAATTTTTACTTTCATACAGAAATTTCAAAATTTTTTGAAAGCTTTAGAGGAAAGTAAGGAGTTGTGCCTGATGGGGAGTCGTGTTCCACGTTAATTTTTTTTATTATGGCAATTAATATGACAAATTTCTTCTATTGGCATATTTCTTTCTCGTTAAGAACTAACACACTCTATTTTTATTTCGCATTATTTATAAATAATTCGAATGTATTATGTAATGTAAATATTGTTTTTTAGTGAGATGGGACTTTTTACATCTGTATTCACTGCAAATGAAATAAATTTCATAGTTTAATTCAATTATTTTTAAAATCTGGGGGTTTTCGGGGTCGCTGATTATTAAGGTATCACATCGGTAAAACCGTTTTCTATAGATTTTCTTGAAAATTTTACCATATGTTCTTATTATCATTCTTGACAAATTTGCAAAATATGAAGAATTTTCGCCGTACGAAACCACAGATATTAGCAATCAAAGTTGCTTATTTTGCATGGGAGACGGGACTAATGTATGGGGGAGAAGTACATTTTCATAAATATCATCAGAAGTTTTCTATAAATTTTTTTCAAAAACTAATGTTGAATTCACGAATAAATTTGGAACTAAAATATACAAAGAAATTTATAATTTACCGTGCCGTTTATTTGTAATTATAAATTAAAAATTCTATTTCATGACGTCATTTGCAATATATAGCACACCCGCCACTTTGATGTGGCAACATCGCAGGATGGTAACATTAGTTAGAGAGAGACAGTAGTCCACAGTAGTCAAAGCGAGACTTATAGCGACGTTGTCAAACCTCCTACTCCTTCCAATCGCTGCTATAGTGTGGGGTATACGTGTACGAGTGTATTTGTAGAAGTAGGTACAGTATGGGCTGAGAGTATAGGGAGTTGAGGGCAAAAGTATAGTGCGGGAAGTAGTAATGCGAGCTACAAACTTTTGACTCCGATTAGTGCCGATGTGATACCTTAATCTGATATCAGATTTTCAAAATTCAAAATGGCGGTCAAAATTTTAAGGAGTTATTAATTTTTTATAAAATTTGGTATCTAAGGGTTTTTGGGGTCGCTGACGTCGAATCTGATGTTAAATTTTCAAAATTCAAAATGGCGGATATAAAATAAATTAATAACTTTTTAAAAATTTGATCGTCATATTAGATCCGGCATTTTAAATTTTAAAAATTTAACATCAGATTAATAATCAGCGACCCCGAAAACCCCCAGATACCAAGTTTTATAAGATATTAATAATTTTTAAAAGATATCTTGTCAATTTTTCATTTAGGGGTTGTTTTCACCCCTAAAAATCACAAACGACTTGATCTATCAAAACGACCAGACACGGGTATTTTTTTTTGGTCCTAGTTTCCGAAAATGTTGGATTTTTTTGTGAGTCAAAAATCGTGTCGGACGGTGCAATCTAATCCGCATACGAGATACGTAAAATAAAATGATACACAGCAAAGTTGAAGCTTAAGGATTAAGGTTTCAGATGAGAGGCTATTCATTAAAATTGATTGATTTTTGTGATTGCTACAGACTTCTGAATGTCAAACTCGCCACCACGCTCCACTGTACTCTAGTATTATGGTTAATAAACTCGGAAAATGTTTGAGTTCTACATATTTAAAAATTATATTTTTTAAACAATATGCCTGCAACAGTCTTTAGACGAAAGTTAATGAACTGACCATTCTTTAATTTATTATGAACAAATTTTAATAGAATCTGGGATTTTTAATGCAAATATATCTGGAATTCCCTATTTTTATCAAAATTTCCGGCTTTTTCAAGGCTTTTTCTCGGTCAATAAAATTCCAAGCTAATTCCCGGCTTTTCCGGTTAGTGGCCACCTTGGAAAATTCAATTATATTTAAAAAAGGTTAGGGGAATATATCCATGTGTGGACCGCCAATATGAATTGACCACCTTTCCGATATTTATGAAACCAAAGGCGAAATATTAAACTATTGATTTTAGCTAATAAATAACACCGTAAAAATATTTTTAGTGTGCCACAAAAGTAAATCGACGCATTTTTGTGTTTAATACAGTCGCACGAAAAAAATAATGTTAAAAAATGTCGTAAAAAGATTTTTCATTTGCAATTGAAATGCACTAATATTTCTGTTTGTTTAAATGTTCTAAGTGTTTATAATAAATAAATATTCAATAAGCATTAAAATCCTTCTATGTTTATTTGATTTTTAATCATTTTTAAGTGATTTCAGCAGGTCGTCCAATCATGGATAAAAAATTTTTTTGGCAAAAAGACATTACTTCAGAAAATTGATCTAAAAATTTGTCCTTAAAGCTGGAAAAAAATCTCAATTTATATAACTTATAGCTCAGGACAATACCTATCCAAGGGTGTATTATAGTTTTTAAAATTCCTTCACTGAAAAAAATTATTGAGTAAATAAAAAGTTGGTCCACTCATAGATATATTCCCCTATCTAAAATTATTTGATAAATTATTTTCAATTCTGCAAAATTTAATTATTGACTGAAATTTTTCAAAATCTTTTGAAATTCAATTATTTCTAAAAACTTCAACTGTAACTCTTTCAAAATTCAATTATTTAAAAAAGTCTACAACACGACTAAATAGTTTAAAAAAATTTTTTATGAAGATTAGAATTTTGGAAAAACAAAAAATTATGATTTTTGTGCCATAATGGCCCCGGTTGACGGTACTACAAATAATTTAAAAAATGTACTCACCATCCATCACTGTCTTGTGCATTAACGTCACAACCAAATTCAACAAGAAACTTGACTATTTCAAGATGTCCAGCACAAATGGCATTGTGTAGAGCTGTTATACCTTCATCATTGGCAGAACTTGGATTAGACACTTCTTTTGCAGTCTTTTTTACTAATTCTAATTCACCTTCAAGACTAGCATCTAATAAAAGTGCCAATGGATCAAATGAAACACGCCTTGAAAGATTGGCTTTTCCAATTGTTATTTTTAAATTGCCTTTTTTCCTTTTAGTAACTTCAGTCGATTTACATTCCAATTCCATTTCACACATTCTATCTTTTTCATTTTTTACCTTCGATTTTTCTTCAATATTAATAACATTTATTGCATCCACAATATCAACTGGTTCAACTTTCTCTTTTTGATTTAATTCCTTATTTGTTAGAATATTTGGTAATATTTTTTTAATATTACTATCAGCTGACTCAACAGTTTCTTGTGGTTGATATTGATTTACATCAGTTTGTATAAGATCTGCTGGAATTTCGGTTTCAGGAAAAAGAAATGCAGGAGGCATTTCGATTCGACGATTTATTGACACATGGATATTCGATTTAGAATATCTTAGTTTTGGAGTTTCTAAAAATGGTACCTTTCTCAATGTTAAAGGGCGAGATGTAATTGCTTGTTTATTCCCACATTGACCGTCTGTCGGAGATTCCGGAGGTTCCGATGTTGGCATAGGAGGGATTTCTTCTTTCTTTTCCTCTCTAAAAAAACATTCAAAATTTTTTTAATTTTATCATTTAATACTTAATGAGAAGCATTTATGTTTTCTTTTGGATTATTAAAATATATTATTCAAAAATTTATTTTCATTAAAACTTAAAATATTTTGCGTCTATTTATTTCTTAGTCAGGTTTTGTTTAGATTTCGAGGTGATACACCGGCGCACAAAGTGGCCAAATGAGTGGCTGCACACTAGATCGAGACCAGTCTCGGTCTTGTCTCGTTTTTCGGGACAATATCGAGACGACACTATAAAAAAATGTTAGATGCAGACCAGATGTAGACTGAGACTATACCACGATAAAAGCGAATCTCGTCAAATTATATTTCTAGACATTATAATCTCTTGAAAATGATGGTGGCTACTATCGAAACGTCGAGCAAAATAAAACTTATTATTATATTATTTTTTAGAGACCTAAACATTTAAACAATTATATTATTTAAAAATTCAAAAAACTTAATTTTTAAATAAAGATACCATGTTTATGTACTTTAAATGAAAAAATGGAAAGAACAAAAGTTGACGAAATTTTAATAAAAGCTTTCAAAGCAGCTTGAGAGAAAATTGTCAAACACTACCAAAAAACAAATTGGGTTTACTGTGCTGCTTTAGTTATAGATCCTCGGCACAAAGTAGAAACTTTCGCTTCTACGAAGTGGGGCAGGAAATTTGAAAGAAGTTTCAATTAAATTTTTTGAGGAAATTTATAAAAATAATTATTGTAATATTATTTCTGAAAAAGTAACAAAATGGACGATGCACAAAAAACAGAAAAAAACAATGAAAGTCTTTTTAAATGCGAAACTATCAATCTGAATTCTATTTAGCACTAAAAAGATCAGATAAAAAAGAAAAGACCAATAAATAAACATTTATATTCTGTACATACAATGTTTTATTTTATCACTGCTTTTAAGGTTTAGACTAGACGAGACCATAATTATAATAGAGACACAGAGACGATATCCAGACGAGACCAGTTTTGCATTTTTTCGAGACCGAGACGAGACTCACTAAAGTCTCGTCTAATGTCGTCTCGTGCGCAACCCTACAAATGACATTAGTTGTCTCAAAACCCCCTACAGCCTACAATTTATAACCAATTTCATTTTTTTTAAATAATCTGTATGAAATTTGAAAGAGATCTCTTTTCAGAGAGTAGCTATTCATTTGTTCCGCACGTGCTCGTATCAAAATTGTAAGGAGCCGAGCTACTACAGCAAGAGGTGGTACAGAAGATGGATGATAGAGGCGAGTACGAAGAGAGCATACATAGGCCCATGTTGTAAAGGCTCGTTTTTTCTCTCCGTGTAATATTTTTGACTTCTGGCATGATCTTTAAGGTCGTAGCTTTAATTTGCATTTTTCAAACTTAAAAAATGTTTTGTGGTTCACGAATTATGTTTAAAAAAGTCCGAGCATGTTTTTCTACAACTTAGCCGACGATTATCACTTTTCGCCGCCTCGCTGTTGGGTTGTAGAAAAACATGTTCGAACATTTTTTAACATATTTCAGGAACTACAAAATATTTTTTAAGTTTTCAAATTTTTGGGGCGGTACGAATTCAACACAAATAAACTCTACACAAGAAAATACTGCACCGCTAACTGTACACGAGTCAATTGTCAACAAAATTAAATAAAAATATATTCTTCACAATTAAATACTACATCGAAAAACCCTATGCAATAAACTATTTACTAGAAAATTATCTTCATAAACTCTACACATTAAGATTTAGAATTAGAAAAATGAAAAAAAAAAATTTTATAATTCTACACAAATAAATATTACATTAGTAAATTCTACACAGCTATAAAAAATAATAAATTAAATTCGACACAAAAGGAAAGATTATTTTCATGTGTTGAATTTAATTGTGTCGAATTTAATTTATTATTTTTTATAGCTGTGTAGAATTTACTAATGTAATATTTATTTGTGTAAAATTATAAAAAAAATTTTTTTCATTTTTCTAATTCTAAATCTTAATGTGTTGAGTTTATTTGGGTAGAGTTTATGGAGATAATTTTCTAGTAAATAGTTTATTGTGTAGGGTTTTTCGATGTAGTATTTAATTGTGTAGAATATATTTTTATTTTATTTTATTGAGAATTTACTCGTGTACAGTTAGCGGTGGAGTATTTTCTTGTGTAAAGTTTTCTCGTTTTGAATTTTATTATTTTCATTTAATATGTTGAATTTTGAATGTGTACAGTTTATTTATGTAGGATTAAAATATTTTTATTTGATGTGTAGAATTTATAAATGTTGAGTTTAATTGTGTAGAATTTTATAAATAATCGGAAATAAAGAAAATATTATTTTCATGTGTAAAATTTAATTGTGTCGAATTTAATTTTTTATTTTTTATAGCTGTGTAAAATTTACTGATGTAGTATTTATTTGTGTAGAATTATAAATTTTTTTTTCATTTTTCTAATTCTAAATCTTAATGTGTTGAGTTTATTTGTGTAGAGTTTATGAAGATAATTTTCTACTAAATAGTTTATTGTGTAGGGTTTTTCGATGTAGTATTTAATTGTGAAGAATATATTTTTATTTAATTTTGCTGACAATTGACTCATGTACAGTTAGCGGTGCAGTATTTTCTTGTGTAGAGTTTATTCGTGTTGAATTCGTACCTCCCCCAAATTTTTAACACAATCTTTAAGATCTTACCCAAATAGCAATATTTCTTGGCAATATTTACGGAACATTGCATAATATTGCAGTAATACTTCTGCAGTGTTACAATAATTTTTTATGCCTTTGAATCGAAGTTAAAAATAAATTTTAAATTATAATCCAATAAATTATATCTTGAAATATCTACATTTAACGCAATGTGACAAATAAAAAGCTGTTTTATTAAGGAAATGCATTAAAATTTTGTTTTAATATAGGTATATAAAAATAAAAAAACAATTAAACTTTTTTAACTTCTAACTTCATATTCAACTAACTTACTTTTCTGGAACCTAACATTGCACAGTGGCCGATTTCTCGAAAAACCTGGCCAAAAATCGAAAAATGATATGATTTCAACCAAAATTGGTATACCCATGTTTTTTGGGCTTCTGAATTCAAATTTTACATTGGTTGTGTCAAATTCAAAATGGCGGATCCAAAATGGCCGTTTAGATTTTAAAAAACTTTGCTAAAAATTAAAAAATGGTACGATTTTAACCAAACTTAGTATACTTACGTTTACTGGGTTTCTGAAATCAAATTTTACATTTGTTTTATCAAATTCAATATGGCGGATCCAAAATATTTGCTGGTATTATAAAATTGCGTAAATGTGTTAGAGCTTATTTTTTTTAAATTACAGACAGTGCTTAAATTTTAGTTTAAAGCGAATGCGAATGAAGAAAAAGTCAGTCTTTCACGTTCAGTTGCACCGCCGCCTGCCGGTGCAACGCGCTGTCGGTAAACCGCGCTTAGTGAAATAAAAAGTGATACCAAAACTGCAGGGGCAGCTTGGGGCAACTGATTTCAATTAAAATGAATTAAAAATATATTCTAGTTTATGATAATACCAGGTAGAGCGCGGATATCGGTGGATTTCACAACTATTTGCATGATTTACGTTGATAAAACAATACAAAAATCGTCGCCATGAATAGCGATGTTTAATGTCATTTTTTAAAAACTGTACGTTTTAAATGTGATGATAAATACATTCAACATATTTCATACACCTTTGTTAATAATTCCCAAAAAAAGATATTCAAAAATCTGCTGTATATTAGTATATTTTCACTATTTTAACTGTGACGAAAATTTATAGTTATGAAACGTTCTGAGTAAATCTCTGGCAAAGATCACTTTTACTTGTTCACACAATAAATTGGTGATAAAAAAAGTGTAATTTTTTTTCGCAAAATTATGCAGTGAACCCTCCTTTATAATATTCAACAATAAAAAGTATAAATTTCTAAAAAAAATTTTTTTGACTTTTGGCCAGGTTTTTCGGGAAATCGGCCACTGTGCATTGCGATGACAATTTTGAAAACAAATTAAAATAATTAACCTAAACAATAAACTGCAATGGGAAAAAAATCTTCCTCAAACTATACACGCGTACTTGGCAAGATAATTTAAATTTGATTTCACATTTCATGTAACAAATTTATTATATTATGCTTGTTACCTTCTCATCATAATGAGAAAGTATAACATTTGCCCGATTTTGACCAATCTCTAATTCTTGTGAATCTCCACGTTTCAAGACTTTCTGATGTCAAAAAAATTAGTTTAAATGTCTGTCTGTATGTCTGTAGACAAAAAAGTTTGCTCGACGATAACTTGAGCAAATTTTAATTAATCGACTTCAAATTTAGTATACATTTTAAGCGGGAAAACACGTGTAAAAAAATTTATTAATAATTTTTTTTTGCTTTAAAAATTAGTTTACTATCTGTTAAATATGATCCTACATTACTAATCTATAATTAGATGTATGAAATACTATAGTAATGCAATTTCAAACGCCTGTAACGCCGCCATTTTGTAACATTTTTTAATAAAAAAATTTTTGTCATAAAGCTTATATTGTGTAGTTTAAGGTATGCTTTACTTTAATTCAATAAACTTTACCAGTTTTTTTTAATTCCTGAAAAACGTGCATTTACATGAGTTTCCCCCCTTAAGGTATCACATCGGCACTAATCGGAGTCAAAAGTTTGTAGCTCGCATTACTACTTCCCGCAGTATACTTTCGCCCTCAACTCCCTATACTCTCAGCCCATACTGTACCTACTTCTACAAATACACTCGTACACGTATACCCCACACTAGCAGCGATTGGAAGGAGTAGGAGGTTTGACAACGTCGCTATAAGTCTCGCTTTGACTACTGTGGACTACTGTCTCTCTCTAACTAATGTTACCATCCTGCGATGTTGCCACATCAAAGTGGCGGGTGTGCTATATATTGCAAATGACGTCATGAAATAGAATTTTTAATTTAT